GGGGTGGGTGAGGTGAGCACACGTGACCTTCAACAGGACTCCCAGACCAGAATCACTCTGTGTGCAGACTCGGGAATGCCCTAGTTGGGTGAAGTCACAAACATTGTATAGCCCTTTCTCTTGTGGGTTCAACATCTAAATAGTCCTGGGGAGAGAAAGTCTGACTCCTTCACAGTCTATAAGCAGAACACTCCATTCCCACGAGAAGTGAAGGGGCTCTGAGTCCTCCAGATGAGGCCAGGGTGGGCCACGGGGCTTGCACCTGAAGATGGGAAGTGTGGCTGCATATTGATTCTTGGGGCAGTTCCTGCTCAGGTACTTACTGGGTCAGCTAATCGACAAGTTCCACAGTATTCTTCATAGACTTGCTACATGGACATTTTGGTAAGTGATCACTTCTTAATACATCACCAAATTGTTCCCGTGGTGAGCTGTGGCCCTTCTGAGCCACGTTACCATTGGTGACAAGACAGCAGTTATGACCAGCTATGGGTTTTGCTCAGAATTTTGAGCAAAAACCTTTGACACCCATGGTTGAGGAAGGAGACAGAGGGGCCATACAGGTGGGCCTGGTCCCCACACGTCTTTGAGGAGTCCATGTGCACAAAACTCTGTTAATGCAAAACAGGAGGTTTTGGGGTCAGAGGAATGGGAGTGGAGGCCACAGTGGCCAAGCTGGTGGCTGAGCCTATGTCCTGCTTTCATTGTTGTGGGCCATGCCCTGAGTCTCCACTTAGGGAGGCAGGTGAGGGGCTATTCTAGGCCTGTGGGCAGGTACATAGCCAAGGAAGCCAGAGGCAGAGATGCATGGGCCTAGGGAGTGACCTGCATGCTTCCTTGGTGCAGCAGCAGGCAGGTAACTCCATGAGACTCACCCTAACCTCAGGGACCTGCTCAGGAACTGACTGGGTCCTTAGACAGCCACCAAAATAGGAGCCAGGGAAGCCACCCGAGTCCGCAATGACTCAGGTCCTCTGCGGCCTTACTCTGCCCTCCAGACTTCACTGTGAACGTCTTTGTCTCTAAGGAATACTGAAATGCTTTCTCATTAGCAAAACCAAGAGGAAAATAAAACAAAGAGGGAAACTGGAATTAGAGTATGTTTTGACTTCATGATTAAAGTTGTCAGGTACCAATTAGTGAGAATTTAAGCCTGGCTCTGACTACTGGATGGCTAGGATCCCCATGCTCCTGTGATTTTGGTCAAGGGTCTTGATCAAATGCTGACAGCCCCTGGAAATACCTGTAAGATGACCCAATTGTGCAGCCCCTGTGTAACTTACCCTCCTCCCTTTCTTTGGGGGTGCCTTTGAGAAAGGTTATTTGCAGGAGAGCAGACACATGGTTGAGGGAGATCAGGAACCATGGTGGGGAGGGGGCTTGGGAAACAGGGGTCAGCTGACCCACACAGGAGAGGACTTCCTGACCAGAGATTAAATTGGCCTCCATATATACACTGTTAGCTAAAGCAAGGACTCGAGTCCTTCCCATAGTCTTTAGCCTCCCACACCGGTGTTCACGGGTCCTGCTGGATACTCAGCGGGGCATCTGGGGATCCCGAGCGTCCTGCCTGCCCAGACCCGTGTCCTGTGATGCGAGCTGCCTTGGCCTCCCTCTGCTCAGGGACGCGGCTGCAGTCCATGCCAGTCTTCCACATGTCGAGGCGACAGATGCTCAAGGTATCCAGCTGGGTCCTTTGCCTGCTTGCAGGCCACCTCTTAGGGGTCACTGACCATGACTGCCAGTGTCTAGTGTCATGTTAATGCTTCCTCCACCCACCTGCCCAGGTCCTCTGGTTGGCTATTTTTAACAGGAGGGCAAATTTGGGCTGTATAACTCCATGTTGGCCAGAAGCAGAAATCCTAATATTAATTTATAATATTCCACCTGCCCAAGCCCACCTCATGTTTCCCCTGTTGCTGGCCACGTGGGAGTTTCCAGTTCTTGGAATTTGTGAGCAGTCCTCAGCTTATGACATATTTTAATGTTACCCAGAAACACAGGCAGACAGCAGCACAAGGACACATTGTAGCGACTGCGTTCTTCCAGAGCTGAAGATTCACTAACTTCCCTGAAGGACCGCAGGACCTGCCTCTTGAAAGTTGGTGGAGCCCTCAGAATTAATATAAATTATTCATGGGATCTTCACCACTGACAAATCCAAACTGATGTCAAGCCTTGGCCTAGAACTCACGGCTCTAACAATAGTGGCCAAGAATAAAGATGTTCGTGGACTTGAGTGACTAGGTCCCACGGATGAGCAGTGTGGTCGTTTCCACCACAAGAAGCTGGGTTCCAGCTGGTGCTGCCCCAGTTCCTGTCACTTCTCGGGGTCTTGTGTGTACTGGATGGCAAAGATAAGGAAAGTTTATGTGACAAGCTGCCACTGCCTCACCTACACAGCTCAGATATCCTGGGCTCGGAGTTTTGCCTGCTAGAAATTCTGGGTAAGACTACTACATGAATTTTTAGTAAGCTATGGTTGCTCCCTGCTCTGCCCCTCAACCTGGCTCACAGGCCCATATTCCAGGGGAGTCAGAGCAGAGAAGTGGGTTATTCTAGCAGAGAGAGTAAAGAGGGGAGACAGGAAAAGAGGGAGGGAGAGAATGAATGAATGAGTGAATTCCTCACAGCCCTGGAAAGGCTCCTTGTTGTTCTTTATAATGGCCCAGAGGGCTGGGGGCACCGGGGTCATGATCCCAGAGAAGAGCAGATGTCCGACACTCACACACCCCACACCAGCTTTCAAGGCGGCACTATGGCACCTGGTTAGGGACTCTGCAGCAACGTTTGCACATGGATTTTTGCTTTAGACAGTGTTTGTCTTACCTGACATGCACTCAGGCAATTTGGAGGCAAGCCATTAAGAATAGAAAAGCAAAACATAAGATCAAAAGATCAAACTTTACAGAGCGCCCACAGGATCAAAGTCCCTGCTCATCCCTGACTGCAGGAGTGTCGTCTGGCAGAGGCAGAAAGTATGTCTTCTGAGAAATACCCTTTTCAAAGAAAGATGAGAACCCACCCCCAAAGGACGGCTGAAGGGTGGAGAGAAAGCTCCCAGGGACTTGTCCTGACAAGTGGGGTGTAGGTCGGATGCTAGGATCCTCAGGAGAGCATCCATCTGTTGGGGACTGACCGCGGCCAGACTCTTCCCTCACATTTCAGGGACCACGCTGACAGCTAATGCTGCCGTGCCCCTCAAGTGAGCCTGGCCCAGCTTCCACTTGTTACCCAGGAGGAGCAGGTGGCTCGTATGTGGTCCCAACTGGTCCTGGATATCACACAAGACTGAATTAAAGGGCAGTGACAGGATGGGACATCAAACGCCCTCTCTGGTGTCAGGTTCAAGACAATGACACTGTGTGACAAGGAGTCAGACTTCTGGTGATCTGCACGGGCCTGACCTGGTAGAATGCGTGCTGGAAATGCCCTCTGAACCACAGGCTTGGCCATGTGGCTGGCCTCAGGCAATGGCTTTTCTGACCAGGTTTTCCTTTCATGGTTGCCTGCTGGTGCTAGGTGTACACTAGGCTTGAAGCCCACACGCAGCCCACAGCTTGACCAATGGCTGCTTTCCCAGAGTTCCGGGGAGTTGAGATTTAGTTCCCTTTGGAGGAAGCCCCTCACTTCCAGCTGACCTATTGCTGCTGCTGCTTCCTGGGTCACCTCAGGCCTGAGCTCTTGCCACCCTCCGTGCCCTTCATTTGACCGAGGGGTATGTGTGTCAGAGGATGACAGGGCTGCTCGCAAGTGGCAGGAGTGGCCAAGGTTAATCTCGCTATTGACAGAAACTTGAGACACTGACTTAAAGCTGGGATCCTGCTGGGGCCTCACTTGGAAAGACATGTTGACAGGGCTGACAGAATGGGGGACTCTTTCCGTCTTCAGAGATCAACTCCTAGTGCTGTCCTGTAGGCTGATGAGGGTACACTGTGGCCGGGAAGGTCCTCCAGACATGACTGCCCCGAATCCCTGAGACCCCTGTGAGGTGGAGTAAGTACGGCCGCAGAGTGAAGACTCGCGAATGAGTCTGGTAGCTGAGTAAGGCTGGGTTTTCAGATCTGCCCAGGTTGGGACTCCGAGGCTACAAACCTTCTGTCAGTTAAAGCAGCCCCCCCTCCTCCCACGTTCATCCAGGAGCAGACAGAGAGAAGGCAGCAGAGAACACCCAGGGTCAAGATAGGGAAGATGCTTCTTTAGGGCCTTGGAAACACCCAAGGGTGCAGCCATAGCGATGGCACAGGGGAGGGAGGCTGGGGGCAAGTGGGCCAAGGTGGGGATCTAGGTCATGGCTTCCTGCTGCACACACAGGCTCCCTTCCTCTAGTCCGTGCTCCGGTATTCCCACACGAGGCCTCCCCACCCTGCCTCTTGCTCTCTCTAAGACCTCTACAAGAAAGTGGCAGGTATCCAGGAGCCGGATGTCGGCCACCTCCTTACGACTGGTCGGTCCTTCTCAGGATCACAGGCCACACCTTCCTGGTGGTAGGAAGCTGCGCTGTGCATACAGAGGGCTCACTGGGGCTGGCAGAGGAAATGGTGCAGAAGACTCCAAAGATGCCCCAGTCATCCTGAGCCTCAGAGAGCCTTGCAGCAACTGAGGAAGCTGAGAGTTGAAACAGACAGACAGACAGACGCACACGGAGATGGGGAACCGTTACCCAGCAGGCAGGACCTGGACTGCATGAAGGCTGAGCAAGCACAGGATTTAGGAATTTTTCCCCCTCTTCCAACAAGCAGGAAGAAATCATTTCTGTTTAGTTTGGTAGAGGAAGAAACAGGACTCGGGCAGGCAGAGGGATACGGTTTCCTGCTGGCTGGAGAACTGGGGGGATATGAGGGTGCAGTCTCCCTGAGTTACACCCCTGAGATATGTACTTCAACTGGGAATGGAACAGGATGCTTATCTTTGTATTGATTTTTCTTGGTCCAAAATTCAGAAATGAAATCAGATCAAACGGGACCTGCAAGGGGTGAAATTTGGTTGTGTGACTTTGATCTCAGAGAGCCAGGACCAAGGAAGGGCAGCCTCATTCTCCTCTTGCCCCAGGGCACAGACACTCCGGGCATCTTAGCTCTCATCTGATGCAGATAAAACAGAACACAAGACGCAGGTGAGTTACAGAGAACCAAGATTTATGTCTCTCAGCTCTGGAATCGGAAGCCCCAAGGCCAAGAACCTGCCACACACAACAGTCTTTCTGCTGTCACTAAAATATGGAGGGGGAGAGAAAAACTGAGAGGCTGGAGAAGGGAAGGAGGGGGGAGAGGGAGGGAGGGAGAGGAAAGAGAAGGGAGGGGGAGAGAGGAAAGAGGAGGGAGGGGAGAAGGAGGGAGGGAGGGGAAAGAAGAGGGAGGGGGGGAGAGAGGGAGAGAGGGAGAGAGAGAGGGAGGGAAGGAGGGGAATGAGGAGGGAGGGAGAGAGGGGAGGAGAAAGGGAGAGAGGGGAGGAGAAAGGGAGAGAGGGGAAGGGAACAAGAGAGAAAGAGAAAGGGAGGGAGGACGAGAAGGAAGGAGGGAGGCAGGAACACACAGCCATGTATCAGGAGCCCTCTCTGTGGTAACAGCTTCAGGCCCTTTCCAGAGCCTTCATGACCCACCATTACTCAAAGGTACCAGCCCCTAACATTGTTGCCTTGAGGATTTGATACCTTCTGATCTCTGGGGACAAGGTCCAAGCCTCAAGAGATGGCTTCAAACACAGAAGAGTCTGGCCTCCTCCTAGGACGGCACTCTCATTTTTCAGAACCCTTGCATAGAGGTGAGGGGGCCGCAGTCCTTCCGAGGCACTGGGGGTGGAGGTGGGGGTCACTTTCAGTTACCAGTGTTTACCCCTGTGCACCTTGTTTACCACGGCTACACACGGAGGGCAGGGTGGCTGGAAAGCCTTCTGGACCTTGATCCCGTGAGCCTGTGTAAACACAGTCAGAGGATTAAATGTCTTTAGAATGGCTTTCAAGCTGCCAGGGTCTGAGGTGGGTGAGGAATGAGTTATGGGAACACAGTGACTTCTTTGATGAGAAGAGAGCGTTACATTTGGGTGTGAGTCTGGTGTTGCCCAGCAGGCCGTGGGCAGCACCTGACTGTGAAACCCAGTGCCCTCCCTTCCTTCCAAATGCAGGTCTGCCCAGGCACTCCGCTCCACACAGTTTGCCCCAAAGTAGGACTTGGGCAGTCAAAGTTAACCCTGACGAACTCATTTCTAGAACAGTACCTCAGCCTGAGGTCAGGAGGCCTCGGCGGGAGTGCGCTGTGGCCTCCAGAGAAGGTCCCCTCTTTAAGGCTTCCACGTGGCTCAGAGACCCTCCAGTGGGCTCTCTGTACTGGAGAGTATGCTCACTCTGTCTCCACCAAGCTGACACAGAAAATTTATTTCCTGCTAATAATGAAAGAAATTACTAGAACATGGCCCTCGGAATACTGTGAGGAGCCTCAATTCCCAGAGCCCTGAAGGGCCCAACACTTGGTACTTAGAAGGAAGGTGTGAACGCTGTACTTTTGGGCTGCATTCCAGGGAAGAACCCCCCCCCTGGAGTTGCCAGCGTGCCCAGCTAGCGTAGGTTGGTCAAAGACAGTGAGCCCAGGGTCCCAGCAGAACAAACCTTCCTGCAAAGAGCTGCCCGTCTGTCACACTGTCCGCTCCCGGTCATCTCATCTGTTTTTCTATTTAAAACCTTTTAGATAACCTATTGATCTAGTCGGGGCAGTTCCCGGGGCATCATAAACTGCACACCTACCAGGCCCCTAGTTTAATAACACGCCATTGTCTGAGCACTCTGAACCCCTCAGTTATGGCTGGTGCTTGCAGTGCTCACCAGGTCAGGTGTTGAGGGGACTACGGTTACCTCCAAGGACAATTCCTCGTGTTCCAAACTTTCCCTTAGATTTTACAAGCATGACTTCTCTACAGTGATCATAAACACAGCCTCCTGAGTTCACCATGCTGGAGCTGCCTGAACACAGAGTTCATGCTGCAAAGGCAGAGGCTAAGGCAGTTTTCTCTGGTGAGAGTCTAGAGTCAGACCCTCGGGCACCGGCCACAGAGAAGAAATAGCACAGGGGAATCTTGGGGTATTTCAACCTAACTTCTCCTCAGTGCAAGAAACTCAGCTCAGGGCTCAAAGGAGCAGAAACCATCAGAGGGGGTGAGCTAGCCTAGGACCCTGTATCTCAGTACACTGACCTGCTGCTGTTCTTGCTGTTTGGGACTTCTGGGTTGATGAGCAGATGTGGCAGTGTAGATGGTGGCAGATGTCTCTGGAAGGGTTGCTATGTTTGGGATTTTACATCGACAGCCACAACCCTGGACCAGACAGGCTTAGAGAGCACCACAGGCAAACAATACAGAGGAAGGTCGCTTCCACACAGACGTGAAGTCAAGGAGCTGGGAAGCCAGTGCTCACAGGCTGGTTCCACAGCCCTCATCGGTGTCGCGCTGTGCTGCTGTGCTGTGCTGTGCTGTGC